TCGTGCTTTTTCTCGTGCTTTTTCTCGTGCTTTTTCTCGTGCTTTTTTTCGTGCTTTTTTTGTGCTTTTCTCCTGCATTTGCATCTTGTTCACAGTGTCAACACCAATCTTATTCGTGCTATCCTGGTGTTCGCCGAGCGCTTTTCTTTCCGCTCCTTCTGGATTTCTCCTTGACCGTTTTGGAAATGTCACTGGCGATTTTTCAAGATTTGCTCGTGCTTTTTTTGTGTTTTTTTTTTTGTCCCTTATTAATTTAATATAACAATGAGCACAAAAAAAGCACTAGAAAAAGCACAAGCAAAAGATGATTTTTGGCGGATGCCATTTCAGCTTTTCTCGTGCTTTTTCTCGTGCTTTTTTTGTGCTTTTTCTCGTGCTTTTTCTCGTGCTTTTTCCGTGCTTTTTTGTGCTTTTCTCGTGCTTTTTCTCGTGCTTTTTTTGTCCTTTTCTCGTGCTTTTTCTCGTGCTTTTTCTCGTGCTTTTTTCGTGCTTTTCTCGTGCTTTTTCTCGTGCTTTTTTTGTGCTTTTCTCGTGCTTTTTCTCGTGCTTTTTCTCGTGCTTTTTCTCGTGCTTTTTTGTGCGTTTCTCGTGCTTTTTCTCGTGCTTTTTCTCGTGCTTTTTTGTGCTTTTCTCGTGCTTTTTCTCGTGCTTTTTTTTGTGTTTTTTTTTGTGCTTTTCTCGTGCTTTTTCTCGTGTTTTTTCTCGTGCTTTTTTTGTGCTTTTTTCGTGGTGGCAGTTACTGAAAAAACAATGGGGAAAAAAAGAAAAAACTCGAGTTTTAATTGCGTTTAGTCTTCGTGCCACCTTGGGCCGGCGGTGTGCTGGCCATGGCGGATCCCTTCGCCTTCGACTTCTTCGAGGACAGTGGGAGAGCAAGTTTGACACGGAATGTATACTGAAAGTCTCAAACAGAAGATCTCATTAGATACCTTACAGAGACGCTGCTGAAATCCTTTCAAGAGGTCATTGCATGATCGTGCGCAGGTCCTTGGGGCAAGAGCTGATGGAGATCCTTGTGAGGAAGATCTGGTCGTCGAGCATCTTGCCAAAAGATCCTTGTGGGAAGATCCTGTAGGGCTCCTTATCAAGAGATCCTTGCGCAAAGATGTTCTAGGGCTATAGGCTATAGGGATCTTTGTACAAAGATCTTTGTAGAGATATCTACAGAGATCTTGCTGAAATCAATTAAGGGGTCCTTGCATGATCTTCAACAGGTCATGGTGGAACCAGTCAATGCAAAATGCCACATCATGTTTCCAAAATGACTATGTCACTTCATGCAGCGCGCTAAAAAGGACAGCTGCACAAGGCAAGGTTTTTTGAAGCCGGCGCTTTTGGAAAGCGAACCTCCATTTTTTCACTTTTTCTCGTGCTTTTTCTGGTGCTTTTTTCGTGGTCACTGTTACAGGGACTAGGCTTCCCACAATATACATATATACAAAGTTCCATGCACTTGCTCCAGCTTAGTTCCCTTTCTTCATTTCCATCCGAAGCAGAACCCTCAGGTAATCGTGCTGGAACGATTGCTTCCATTGCTGCAAGATGTTGAAGAGGCCAACTCCGAGCCAATGGGCTCAGGAAATGCACATTTGCAGAAAACTTGCAGATCACTTGCAGACACATTTTCACATCTTGTTGCCGCTCTATCTTTTTCCTGGCGTGACCAAACAGATGCAATCCAGCACACGCTTCTTCCTCATTCAAAACTTTGCGACCAGAAAGGCAAGAGTCTTGAAGTTTTCCTGAGGCCTTACCTCGTTCCAGCCGAAACACACGGCAAGATGATGAAGCCTCCGCAGCGGGCCCAAGTGCTTGGATTCTTGTGAAACTTTCCATTTGTTGCAGCTTCATGAAGCGCCTTTCTCACACCAGAAATGTTTCCTGAAGGTTCTTAATCTTGGACCCGCAAGACTTTACAATCCAAGAAATCTTTGGATTCCACGGAGAAGAAGACTGGCCAGCCTTGGATGGGCGTCAGAGATATCACTTTCCAGCAAAGAGCCTCTCTGCTCCGGTACCTCAGCTTTGTTTGGCTTTGTGACTTGAACGCCTGTCGGAGTCAGGATTGACCTAAACAGCGACCGAGAAGTAAACTGACAAGTCAAAGCCATCCTGACTGTCTTGGTCAGACCTGCTAAATCCTGCAAATATTCTTAGGTGGGATGCGAACAACAGGAAGACGGGAAGAAACATATTGAGAAGACATGTCTCAGAAAAAGAAAGCACATAGAAAGACGACTGAAGTCAGCTAGAATTCAGTTCGATAGCTGAAGGCTAGCACAGAGACTCAGACAACCTTGGCAGTTGGGTATTCCAAGTGGAACAGTGGCGTCAGTACTTCATTCCAATTATCCAATTTTGCGCCCTTTGTTGAATCCTTCTTTGATGTGAGGTACTGTCTCATCTCAGACGGCTTGGAATGCGGAAGAGTGTTGGTGATGGAGACTGTTTGGCATATCTCTGCCAGGCAAAAGGTGCTTGAGCTGATCATGTTTTGGGAAAGGCTTGTGATGCCCCTTTTGCAGGTCTTAAAAGATCAGCACAACAGGCTACCTTGTCACCGGCTCAGCTATTTGAATCACTCATCTAGATATATTTAGATTGGTTTTTGAGTGTATATATTGCGTTGCTGTTTTTGCAAGAAAATGTGCAGGGAAGCGATACCAAGACTTGCAGCGGGGCTTAATGCAGCGCATTGTGGAATCCTGGAGAGTGCTTCCTGCTGGTGGGCTCCTCTGCAGAGTTGCTCTATGTTCATCAGGTAGAAAAGTAATGACTCATCCGATCAATCCGATCAATCCGATCAATCCATATCAATCCGATGTCACAATGCTAACAATAAATATCAACTAATCAGGATTTGCCATTATATGAGGTACATCCTTATTCCGCACCATCAACCAGATGTCAGTTTCATTCATTTTCTCAATTCATAGCGAACACTATAGAATGGGCTCAAGCTGTTTCAGGCCCTCACAGGGATGCAATCCTGCAAAAAGCGTTTGTTGACACCTCAAGAGACGCTGATTCCACAGATTTGCGTTTCTGGCATGTTACGAAGTTGTGACATCTTATTTGTTGACAACACACCTGTGGACTCATAGTCCATACTGTTCCGGTGCATGACTATATCCATAGTATTTGGCCAGGTCTGACACATTGTTCGAGTTGAAGCCATTCACTCCGCCAAATGAGCTTTTCAAGCTCTCGGAACTAGTGTCAAGCTCTCAATTGCACAGCTGTTCATGCCCAGAACATTCTCGCGATCTTGAGATCTCTCGAATGCGTCTCTGAGGTCACGAGCACGCCCGCTGGACTGCTGACTGCTGTGCACGTGCACATCATACTGAGATTTGTTTTTGGTGTCTTCAAGCATGTCAATCTTTATCTATCGATGTCAGAAGTTGCGGCCTTCTGTCCCAGGATCCATATTTATGCTGGACAACCCTTCCACTGTGCCCAAGAGGGTTTCCGGAGTTTGAGGGGTACCAGCGTCCTACTTTGAAGGAGCCTTCAAACTAGCTTTCTTTGCTTATCAAACAAGCTGTTCAAGAATGGAACCAACCACATCATTTGTGATTTTGAGTTTGAACTCTTAAGTTTTCTTTCCCGGCAAGTTCATGTGTAGCTGTTTGCGTGAACTGCAGGTAGATTCGTCATGATTTATATAACAAGTTTCAGCATTTTTACTGACATGATTCGCCCGATATGATCACGTGTAGGATGTCGTTGCTCATGCCCTGGCTCTTGGAAGTCTTCCTGACGGAGCAGTGCCTGTGCATCAGTGGGAAGAATTCAAAGAGAAGGCCCCCGCAGCAGTGCTGCACGAGTTGCTTCAGATGGTCGATTAAGCTTTGCTCGCAGCATGGCGAAACCATGTGAAACCCACCTGAAGCACTTGGTCTGCAAAAACAAAAGGACAAGAATCAGGAAAGGATGGAATTGCTTAGCAGGCCTTCATTTGTCGCAGCCGCTCTCAGGTGGTGGGACCTATGTGCCAATTCCTTGCACAGAATGAAGTATTTCAAGAGGCAACCGCACCACGAAGCCAGACAGAGGGTGCCCCTGCACAGATGGCACGAGAATGCGTGGCTACCTCAGAAGATGCTCCACTCACGGCATGGACCCACATGTTGCAAATACAGCCGAAGTGATGTTTCGCCTCCCAAGGCCCAAGTGTGTTCACGACTGCGAAAAGCAAAGTTCATTGCTATTCCTCTTGATCCTGGAAGTGGTGGCACCGGTCCGTGCTGCTCTCAGATGGGCACGATTGGTAGGATATCAATGGAAGTCAATAAGACTCAGAGAATTCCACACAAGGATCCACGAGAACAATGGGTGCAAGATGGTGCAAGAGCTGCTGACACCTGTAAGGCACACCTTAGTCGCACCATGGCGGATCTCCTTGGTACTAAAGGAGCATCGACCGCCAATGTTCATGGCTCAGATAATCTCAGAGAACGTTGATACACACGCATTATTTATTATACATATATCATATCATATCATATATATGCATATATGTACTAATATATATATATACACATTATATATATATATGCATATATATATATACACACATATGTATATATATATATACATAATCATATGTATATATATACATATATATATATATGAGCACCACCTTTTCTTGTCAAGAAGGTGGCTTGCACCAACCTTACTGATATTCATGACCTGACCTTTCACCTTTTGCCAAAACAAGGTTTGCGCTGCCAGACTACTTGACAGAGCACGTATGGGGCTGAGTGTCAAAATTTGATTTGCTGGCCACTCAGCAACCCGGTTCGTTTCGAGAATTAGAATTTTCATCACCTGCACAGGTTTCAGTACTGCGCATGTTGGGGGTGCGAGACGCTGTGGAGCTACCCCAAGAGTCACTAGTTGGCCAAGAGACCGACAATGCTCGAGTCTTGAACTTACCACCTGCACCGAAAGCCCATTTCTTGAGTGGCACCGTCGGCACCGTAAGATAGAACATGATAGAACTCTATTGCCTTATTTGCCTTCCGGTTTCTGTTATTCAATTGTATTGGGTCCAAGGCAGCTGATGAAGCCATGACGTGGCTTTTCGCAACACTGGCATTTTCAGACACAGCAAGCATGCGAGAACTCCATTCTCCCAGAAAAACAGATGCAATATCCTGACGTACGTTGCCAGGAGAATGGCTCAGAGAGCTTCTCAGATGTGACTGTGAGATGTGATGGTGGCAGCCTTTTCCTCCACCGCAACATCCTCATGTCACGAAGTGAATATTTCAAAGCAATGTTTCAGGCTGGGACGGTAGTACTTTTTTCAAACTTCTTGCGGACAAATACTTTGCTTTGCAAATCTGAATGTGATGCCGATGTGACAGGGAGCTGGGAGTGGTTTTCTAGAAAGCCAGAGCTCGGGTGCAGAGGTCAGCTGACTCTGTGGGAGAGATCCAAATCACTGCAGATCATTGTAGGTGATATGTAGATGATTCCAACATATCCAAATTTGCCAGGTATCCTTGATGGAGTTTCCACTTGAGGTCGCGCAGATTCTGTTCGGTCAGCCGCTTAAGATTTCTGAAACCAGTTTTCAAGTATCAAGTTCATCCAGCAACAGTTTGCAGAGACATGACTGATTGATACTAATTGACACTGACTGTGGGATGACAGGGGATCATGTCAATGTCGACATGTGTCGAGTTGCAAGTGCAGGCTACCTGTACCATGGACGAGTGGACGAGAGGCCCTTAGAAGGTGCAGATGCCACGTGTTTCGCTCAGACCCCACAACTCCATAACTTCATGTCTTCGCGATTCAAGCTGCATCAAATGTCATGACATGTCATGACATTGAATTTGGAGCATGGCACTTTGGAATGAAGCTAGTGCACACAACAGATGCTCAAGGGTAGCTTGTAGCAATGGCGTGGGGATTGCAATCTCAGCGCAGCTGAGTCCCACCCTCAGACGTGAAGGCTTCATACGCTTCATTGCTTCATATTATATTATATAAATCATGAGCTAAATATATATTAGCAAGACCGATCTTGTTTGATTTTGCCATATTTTGCCTCTACTTCAGGGGATCAACTTCCATCGCCACCCAACTTGCACCAATCATTGAAGTCTTTCCCACATTTGCACAGGGAAATGACTTCCATGAGTCGACTACTTCGACACCACCTCAGCACGCATGAAGATGGAATCGGATAGCAAATCATGAAAGCAGTCCTGCGTGACACAGCCTTGCGAACGAGGCTCCTTTGCCAAGCAAAGAATACAAGTTCCTATCTTGGCAGCTGTGGGGCCCACAGTCAAAGAGACTCAGGTTCTCTGTTTTATTCCTGCGAACAGTTGTGAGGCCATCGTGACATTTTTGCTGCACAGCAACAGAGGACTGATTAAGTCACCCTCCGGAGGCCGAAATTCAAGCGTCCACAATCGAATACTTTGAGCTTGTACATGATTACAGAATATTACATAAAAGTACACAATATTACATCAATTATTTATCCGTATACCCGTATATATGTATATAACATTATGATATATAACATTCTGTTAGAGGCTTGTGCAGCTTGCAGTGTGGGCTTTTGGCGCAGGTGGAAGCGTTGCTGATGGTGCAGCGTTTGCCTCCATCGGACTTGTAGACAGCAAAGTCCGATTGGGGGCATGCGTAGGAAGTTTCCAGGCCCATTTTTTGGGGTCACACAGTATCGGATAGTCTTGGTTTATCTTGGTTTCTTAGTTGCTATATACAAGTGTGGAACACCAGCAAGTGGTCCTGCAATTTCCCCCTGCTAAAATGCCAGTCGTATGTTGCAGGTGTGTTTGTTAGCCTGCTTGTACCTGCTCAAACGACGTCGCGGGCAGAAGTGGCAGGCAGCATGGGCACTGCGCTCTTGGGCAGAGCATGGTACGAAGTGGAAAGACTGTCACCGCATTTCACCGCATTTTGAACAAATTGAGGATCAAAATGCTCTTTCACAGCTTGGTAGGACAAGTTCAACGCCCATAAATCACTTTCTTAGTTCAGACTTTCTGACCCCAATTTGACCAGAATCAAGTTTAAGAGCCAAGAGGCAAGATTGAAAAAGACATCACAGAACGCATGCAGGGAGCAAACATCAATGCCCTCGTACCATGCGTGGCAATTGGAGCCTGGCTCAGATAAAGTTGAATGCAGCCCTTCTTGCTACACTGCGTACATCGCATACGCTGCCCTTTCAAACTAAGGGTGGACGATCCGATTTCTTTGTCCTGTTCCTACAGGGGTAACTGACCAGGCGCACTGCTGGGAGGATTTGCTTCACGCTTGAGGGGCTCACTGACGAGTGGAACAATCATCAGAGTGTTTGATTGGGTTGGACGTTGGCTGAAAGGTTCAACTTGGAAGAATCCTTAGCCCGTTTGAAACACGGTTTGTGACTTCGCACCACATACTAGATTACTAGACACAGTTCGCCAAGCAGCATCGAAAAATATGGAATTCACAAGTTACATCAGTACCCCTCAGTTGGTCGGGACAGCTTGGGAGTGCTTGTTGTGCAGGCTTGGTCAATGCTATCCATTTTTGTTTCGATGATTCTTGCAGTAGCCTGGTAACTCAGAGATATCACGCAGAACTGTGGCCGACCATGGCAATTGTGCAAGGTCAATCAGTGTGAGCCACATTTGCAGATCGGAGCGCATAAATCCCACCAGAGGGATCTTTGTGCTTCAATGGGTGTAATTTGTTTTAATAAGGAGTGTATCACCACTATACATTACATTGGCTGCGAAACTGCTATATTATCTACAATATATTATATCAATATCTGTGTGTTTGTTCCACATGGTCCCACCATCTCAATATCAGATTTTTACGATGATCTACAAAGACGAAGATATATCTCCAGGCAGAGATAGGCAGAGGATTTGCATATTGTGCGGATGCAACGCAGAAATAGGTTACATGACTGTGCGTTCATACATCAGAGGATATACACATTGCATCGCAACTCAGATGCCATGCTGGCATTCTCCAATACTCACAAGTACTCGTACCACCCAAAGGAAGTAGTTTAGTCTGAAAACTTCCGAGTTATGGACGAATGTCCATGGTCAGCCTTTGCATCATCATGTCAACCACAGAGGTAGCAACAGTATTTGGCAAGTGGAAAAGATTGGACAAGTACGGCGCAGGAATAATCTGGAAGCGTGTAAATTTGCGTGTGAAGCAATCGAAGTGTGCGAATCACGGTGTGTTTTTTTATAGGTACTCGTATCGTGGCTCCAGGGTTGCCAAGAGAGGGTCTGTTTTTCCGCAGGTGCAGGCCTCGATCTGACACTGCCGTTAAAAAAATGTGCTCGAGACTGCAGCGAGAGCTCGGTTTTCCGGAAAACCGTGAAATATTGATTGATTGTTTCATTCCTTCCGTCAATCAATCAATCAGTCTGCCATTAATGGGTTCATTCACTCAGGCATTTCCTTCATTCATTCTATTTGTGTTTTTGTTGATTTGGTTTATCGTTTGATTTCGCATGGTTGGCCTCTCAAAAACTGTTTGCTGCCTCTCACAAACGTTCCTTTCGGGCATTAATTTCTTTAAGTCACTCTGCAAATTTAGTAATTACCTCGGCACAGCCAGGTACTACTGGTAGTATAACAGTATAACGTACTGGTAGGTTTCAATTTCTTCATGGTTTCCAACCTATCTGAGATGATGGTCGGTGAGTTAGTTTCCTCCCAAGTAGCAGGCCAATTTACTGACTGTCCGGTCTTTCAGATTTAACACAACCATATTGATTTTATCCGTATGTTTGTATATGTATAGTGTATATATAAACATATTAACATATTCATTCCCATGTAAACATACCCACATCCATATACACGTATATACATATGTCTATTTGTCTATTTGTCTATTTGTCTATCTGTCTATCTGTCTATCTGTCTATCTGTCTATCTGTCTATCTGTCTAATTATCTGTCTATCTATCTATCTA